TCGGAAGACTTGCAGAGCCTGAGCTCTGTAAATGTGATAGGGGGCAAGTGATATTTGAACTCCCTTTTATAAAATTGCATAATATTCTACAGACACACACAAGATATAATTGAAACTTGAACCTTTTAGGAAAAGATTAGATAATCCAGTTCAAACTAGACATACAGAGCGACCATAAGGCTAGTTTACCTGGTCAGGTTAAGATGTCCCTTGTGTGACATCAAGAATTGCTAGGTGATATAAAATCAAGAACACTGCTACATTATATCACTGTATCTGCCAGATTAGTCCATTCTGGTGGTGGCAGCCAGGCAAAAATTGCAGTAGATCTTAGGTCACCTTTGCCTTCCTCCCTGAATCCTAAACTGAGCCCAGTTTGGTGGTCCTCAAAGACTAAGCTCCCAAAATGCATAAACTGTAAGAGAGAGGAAGAATCATTTCACATTTATAATATCAATGTACTCTCTCAACCACCAAGAAGATACTCAGCATTGTATAGCTTGTACACAAATAAAAATAGGATGCAAGATTAAGAAGGTGCTAAAAGATTGCTCCTTGTTGTCAGTAAAACAAGTTATTTACATTTATTTAATAGCAGAAATATAGAGAATGTGAGGAGTGAAAGAGGAAACACGTGGATTGTGATCTCTCTGAAACCTCCCACTGACTTCACAGCAACGTTTACACAGGCAAGGAAAGCATAGTTAGGACTGATATAAGAAAAAAAAGGTAGAATAAAACAATAATGTATCTTAACTTTATTTAAAAGTAGATGTGATTGCTGTAGCTGTTAGGATGATCAAAATATATCTGCTAACTTACGTTAATTAAATCTTTCTTCTAGGACAGATCTATTGGCACTAGTTTGCCTGTCCTAGATTTAATAGATGCCATTGCACCAAAAGCAATTCGTCCAGAAATGGTCAAGAGAGAAGATCTTTCTGATGAAGACAAATTGAATAATGCTAAGTAAGCTGTTAAATAATATTTTATATTTTCTTCTGCAATGAACAAGTTTGTGATTTTCTTATACTTTAACAGTATGAACATAGATGTATTCATGCTTTTAAATACGAAAACATTACATTTTAAATAGTAACATTTTTTAAACCTTTTTTACAGCAGATTAACAGTAGTGGTCAATTTTACTACTGGCATAACCTGGCAGTGCTGTATTGAAGCTGTTGATATTAATAGCCTAACTCAGCTCACATTTGTGTACACACACACACACACACACGTCAATCTCAGGCACAATAAATGTTCAATGCAACTGTTAATACTTAATTGTTCCATTACATTAAATGCATTTTCCACTACAAATTAAATATTAATTGGAAATAAGTATCTCAACCTTTAATTAAATATGTTGTTTTTGCATGTCTCAGCACAAACGTAGTAGATACCAGTAAAATAATTATATCATTTTCTTTCTTGTGTTTCCAAGATATGCCATTTCGGTTGCTCGAAAGATTGGTGCCCGCATATATGCCCTACCAGATGATCTGGTAGAAGTGAAGCCAAAAATGGTTATGACGGTGTTTGCATGCTTGATGGGGAGAGGACTGAACAAAGCAATATAATGAAGATATTAGGGTTTTTTTCCTGCCATGCTAAGTATGACGAATGCCTCACAGTTTACAGAATTCTGAAGTTTTAATGGGTGTAAAACCAGAGATAAATTTGTATGCTGAAGTACAGATAGATAATTAATTACATTTTAATAACTTGTTTATATTTAGTTAAGGTTTCATAAAATATGATTTATTTATGGGTTAATCCTTTATCCAGAATACATGCATTACCACATTAAGATTAGATTGCTGTATTGTTCTTTTTTAAACAAAAAAGTCTTGTAAATCAATTCTAGCTCATAATGTTTTCATAGTGTGAAAAAGATCCCCAGCTTTTAAAATACTGTTTCAGGATCTGCTGTGACACAATTTGATATTTGTGGTTGTTATTTGCATGTGGTCATTTTTGTGCACAAGTGCATTCCAACACTATTGTAATCTCCCAAACTGCACAAAAATCAGCATGTACCTCGATAGGTCTGATCCAATTCCTGTTGAAGTCGATAAGAGTCTTGCCACAGAGGTTAATGGGGTCAGGCCATGATATTGTGTGGAATTTACAATGATATTTCTCATAAAATTGTTCAATGTTTTGAATGGGAACAAACTCTTAGATGTATGTGGTAGTCTGTTTTCTTAAAAAGAAAGAATACATTCACCAAAGTGAAGAATAAATTATTTTTATGACTCCTAATTTAAGAAAGAAACAGAAAATAGTAAACCAAAATGTAACAATGTCATTATTAGAATATTTGCATAGACTTAACCATTGCAGTTGGAAAAAATAGGGGAAATTTCCCTATTTCCCCTATTTCATTAAGTATTCTATAAAAAATCAGTAAAGATAGCATGCCAACCCAGTTTGGGGACTTGCCTTAAGTGTAACATTTTTTAAATATGCGTCTGTCTCTCTGTCATTGATTTTTATGCTGGAAACTTATAAAATCAATACACTGTACTGGCTTCTGGCAGTAAAGCCATATTTCTTAATATGACTGAAATATGAATTTGTACTCTTGTTCTGTAGTTATAAATTTTAATCTAAAACTTCTGGAACCTTTAACTTTTATTAAAGTAATTTTTAAGATGAGCCAAATAAGATGAAATTCCCAACTAAATCCTCAGTAAATATAGAGTCAAATATATATATATATATATATATAGAAAAGTAATTTTCTATATATATATTTGACAAAAACTGATATACAAATATTACAAGCAACTCAAAGGCTAGAAACAGATATTGCCAAATTAAGTGGATCAGCCATGCTGGGAAGTGTCCAGGCACAACTGATCTGCTTCACTGTGGAAAACACATTGTCCTGTCAACTGATCTTGTGGGACAACAGGCAACCTAACCTGTTCCCCACTTAGAGACGCATCCACCATGCTCCCCATGTCAAATTCACTCTGGTGCCATCCTAGGGCTGGGACCACCAGTTAGGATGGTGCCAAAGTGTCAAACTGGTGCTCCTCTTTGACACAAAGAAGAAACATGGCTTCTGTCTTCAGTGCATAAGAGGATTCTGGGGAGTTCGGAAAATTAGAAATGGGCTACAGAACCTTTGTCTGTGTTTTGCTATTTCATATATACCTCCAGACCATAATATGAAGCTATTAGCTTGTGATAATTACCAGATTTCTATCCTTGGTTCTAGAAAAAAATATCCAAACAGAAAGCCAGGAAACTGAATGATCTAGCACTAAATGTGTGACAGTTCAGATTCATACAGAGACAAGCGTATCAAAGGTTGGAAGACCTTATTTGAGATGTACAGAATCAAGAGGCTTTTCACTCGTCCTTCATACTACAAGAACTAATTCTTTGCAGTATCATTGTCCACATCTTGCAGGTTGTACAAATTTCTCTCTTCAGGACTCGCAACTGGTTGCTGTGAAAACTAGGGCTGTGTGAAGCTTCAGTCGCTGATTCGATTTGGCAGAGATTCGGCCCGATTCAACAGCTGAATCTCCAAATCTGAATGTAACCAGGAGACCCTGTCATCTCTCTGAATCAGAACCCTCCAAATCAATTTGGAGAGCTTCAGAAGTAGACACAACTTTATATGGGTTTTTTTCTACATGTATCAAGGTACCAGGTGGCTCATGAATGCTGAGATGGTTGGGTGGATGGAGCGTCCCCTGAATCACTGTCCCCTGAATCAGGCCGAATCTGACTCGAATATGGCCCACTTCACACACCCCTAGTGCAAATCCTATTGTTTTATTATAAAGTACTGCTCTGCCATTGTGATGTGTACGTACGTATACGGGCATGTGTGTGGGGTGCATGCATGCATTTTACAGGTGTACACACACACACACCCCCCCCTCCCCGACCTTTTCTTTGTTTACCTCATTTCTTTTGGTGAAACTGAAGCTTGCTTTCAAGGTAAAACTAATTGCTTTGACAAGTTTGTCTTGAAATATTCTCAACATAAAGAGCCTGACATCAGAGGTTATAAATTCTGAGACTCCAGGACCTGAAGGCAGCAGAATGGATGGTGTGTAATGATCTGAAAGGAATCTGCAGTTCTAGAGTAAAGTTTCCTCTGAGGAGTACAAGTGATTCCATTGACTGAAAATAATAAATTAAAAGTAAAACATGTCCCCGCTTGCCCGCCCCCCCCAAACACCCCAAAACCAAAAACAGGCCACATTGATTTATGTGAATCATTGTAGTTGAGGTAAAGTTAATTATATATTACATCTACGGAGGATCTGGCCTCATGCCCCTGAATGCTGTGGACTGGCTGAGTAGAGATCTAAAGTCCTGCATCCCTTAGTAAATCAACAATCAACAATAAGGACTCGTACCATGTTGAAAATGAACTTGAGTGAAAGACAGATCAATATTTCAGAAATATTTGTTTCCAGATTAGGGGCTAAACAGATGCATTAGACTTCTCTTGAGGATGCCTTTGTAAACAATTTACTGCTTTTTGGCCTCTTGCTTGTGCATCACCTCATGGAAAATAAATTCTATTCCTGTCTTTCTACTTACGTTTTGTTTGTCCATAATTTATTCATAGGGAAAATCAAGAAAGCACTTACAACTGACCTTTTCAAGCTCCCTTTCACTCTCTTTCTCCTAGCTGTTTCTCTTTCATCAGGTTAGATTCACAATGTTCCTTAGTTTCCCCTTCCGCTTCTCTGCGTCCCAGGCCCTGGATAGTTGTTCACACACCTTGACAACTGACAAGTCCATCACCCTTATTCTCTTCCAGTTGTGTCCTTATCTGATTTTCTCCATCTTCTGCCTCCTTTCCTCCACTGTTTCTTCCTTGCGCCTCATTCCCCACAGCCAGGCCCACCGAGTCCAAATCCCAATTTAAAACCATGCTCCTGCTATCCTGGTTCCTTTGGACAAACCCAGAACCTTGTTTCATTAGAACCTCGTCACCTCGCCCTCACCAGTGAGAAGCAAACGGAGGCCCCTGCTAGATGTCACCTATATTCTGCAATTAACTGGTCAATTGTGCGAGAAATTCAGAGCCATACTGCAAATTTTAAGACCAGCCACAAGTGATGTACGCAAGATGTATGCTTTTTCTAATTGTATCTAGCTAAATGCATGAAGCAGTTTGCTGACACGGGGCAGGGTGTGGTTTATGTAAGATAAGAAGAGATTGCTTGCTGAGAAAAGATGCCACGTAGGCAAGTACGGGCATGTTCTGTGGCTAAGGTAATGTGCTCATGGGCTAAAAGAAGCAACCAATAGTAACTGCACAGCGTGTTGGGTGAGAGAAAACTACATAAGGCTAACGCCAACTAGGTTGGGTGGGTGCTTGCTTTGCGAACGATCACCAAGTACCCGCTTTTTGCGCAGACTTGGAATAATAAAGATTAAGTTGGATCCTCCACCCCTGTGTGTTTATTGGCAAAAGTGCACCGGGCATGAACTCACCGTCTTTGCAGACAACACAAGCAGAACAACTTGTACTCCTGAGGCCAGGGGGGTATGGTAACTGCCCGCAGGCGCTAGCAGTGCTGTAGGGGGTGAGGGTGGGCCAAGTGGGGATCGCTCGCAGGTGGCTGCAGCAGTGAAGGGGGTGGCAAGCGGCAACCGCCCACAGATGCCACGCCCCCCCCCACTCTCATGTGGGGCACGTGCCTCCCCTATGCGTCGCCTGTGGCCACGAGTACAAAGGTGAGTTGCCAACCCTGACTGAAGCCGTTCCAGATGATTTTTTTCCCAACATGACAAAGTCAATTGTACTGTTCAACCCGCCCACCCGATCAGTCTCCCGGGCTGCTTTCAACAGTCACGGGGAGACGGGGGCCGATGGCCGTAGCCTTGCGGCCAATCGGGGAGGGTTGGCAACCCTAGTACAAAGCAATGATCACGCCATCAACATGAGCGTGCGGCTATCACCAGAGCCAACCGGCTACGAAGTCGGTACTTGAACACGTGGTTTCTATCCAGCTTTCGTCTGCACGTGCAGCACGGCCGCCGCCGCCTCGCCCTGGGGTGAGGGAGGGAGCTCCCGCCGCCGGGGCGGAGCAGGGGG